CATTTACAACTACAAACACAGAGAGATGCGGAGATAACCAATACAGGCTGTGGCCTCAGCAGTCACAGCTCCACAGCCGCAAGGGAAGAACTGTACCTGTTTGAAGTATTTGACATATTTATCAGTCACAGAGTAACCAAAAATGACTACTGTCTAACAATTACATAACCTAAAGACATGGCGCCCAGGTGAAACAAACTGAACTTCACAGACTACCCTGGCTAGGAGTCAGGTTGCCTGGAGGTCAGATCAGGCTCTGAAGCAACCAGCCATATGCTGACAGGCCAGTTGTCTATTTTGAGTACTTAATGAGGCCTGATAGAATATAGCTCTCTGTGGGGTCTACATCCATGAATTCAACCCACCTCAGATGGGAAATATTCAAAAAAGTTGCATCTATACTGAACATGTACAGATATTTTTTCTTGTCAGTTTTCCCTCAATAATAAGGTATAATGATTTGTATAGCATTACATTGTGTTAGGAATTGTAAGTAACCTAGAGATGATGTAAAGTATATGGAGGAAGTGCATAGATTGGATGCAAATACTGTACCATTTTATATTAGGGACTTGGGCATCTGTGGATTTTGGTGACCTTGGAAGGTGTTAAAATCAATCCTCCAGGGATACCAAGGGATGACTGTACTTGGGCTCAAGCATTCACTTATTCATTTAATGAGTCCAGATTGATTAAGTATCTACCACATTCCTGGCACAATACCAGGTGCTGGGGCTACCTTGAGGGTCAAGTCCACCACAAGGCTCATGCCAAAGCACACAATGTGGCGATGCTGTTGGGGTACACGTGGGTGCCAGCAGGGAAGACACGGAAGTAACCAAAACCCAGCAGAGAGAAAACGCATGAAGTCTCAAGAGGGAGAGATCTTTGAATTGGGCTTTAAATGATAAATACGAGTTTGTCAGGCCGGGAGTAGGAAATGCCATTTCAAATGACAGGAACAGGGTATCAAAGATACATGAAAAAGAAATGCTTAGGAAACAGGGAGTGTTAGGTGGGTCTGGTTAGAGGGGAGGAGGAACCTGTTTGGTTCAGCTGGTGAGGTCTGGGGGGTGTCTGGGCACTCTCCTGTAGACAATAGGCAGTGGTCTTCACACTTCAGCATGTATCAGCATTACCCAGAGGGCTTGTTAAAACACAGATTGCTGGGCCCCTCTCCCAGAGTTTCTGATTTAGCAGTGCTGGGGCAGAGTCTGAGGGTTGGCATCTGTATTAAGCTCCCAGGTAATGCTGCTTCTGCCAGTCCTGGGACCACACTCAGAGAGCCACCATGCTAGGGAGTCCTCCCTTCTGATGCTTGTATGTCCGGGTCTGTTGAAGCAAGCATTTGACACATACAGCAGATTGGAAGGGCACAGGCTGAAGGCAAAGTGGCAACCATGAGGCTTGTAGAAGCTCCTAGAAACAAAACTCCTGCCAACTCTTGCAGCTCAAGAGTCCCTGACTCATCTTAAGCCCAAATATTTGTTTCCTTTATTTAGCCTGTTACTAGTACCTGAAATTTTTACTAACAGCTTTTCTCATTTGGATTATGAATTGCAAATACTTCTGGAAGGGGCTGCACATGAAACTGCTATCAAGGCTTTACTATAGAGTGGTAATTTGATTATGAGGGTCTTTTCGTGTAGGCTGGAGGAGATGATGGCCATTTCTAATGCACTGGGAGGGCAGATTTACTCCTGGCTATGCTGTACCCTGATGGCACACTGTTACCCAAGTCACTTTACCTCCTTAAGCCTCAGTCTCAGTCTATTCTTTGGTAAAATTGTGGATAATGACAACTCCTGCCACAGTGAGGAAACGTGTGTAAGAGCTTCTGGAATATATCAAGTGCTAAACAGAAACGCTGACATATATGCACATACACCCATATATTCTTTTAGTACTTCTTCTAGCATATCAAAAACGTCAGAAGACTCATGAATCTATGGTTTGTCAAGCATGTTGGGTTGTTGCTTTGTGTGTTTATGAGAGGGACACACAGAGAGACAGAATAAGACAGAGAGAGCAGGAAAGAAGTGAGATAGAATATGATTGAAAGGAGGAGACTGATGTTAATTCCATTTTTACCACTGGGCTTTTGGTCTATATTTCCAATAACTTTTCACAAGACTCCTAAGTTAAAACAGGTCAGGATTTAGAAATCTTATGGGTAGGGATTTCTCTTTGTTATCAAATAGAAAAAAAAAATCCCTCCTTAGGTCTTTAGGGACTTCCTAGGTTCTCTGTGGATATTTGCACTGTTTTCCACAAACCCCAAAACAGGCAATATTGATCAGGCCCAGACTGAATGCACCTAATCCCTTTAAACAAATATGTCTAGCCAGTTTTGGGAAACCTTTTCTTAACCTTGGTGTAATTCTCCTCCTCCAGGATATTGACAGGCCAGGTTTAAAGGGCTCCTTTAACTAAGTGTGATTGAAGTTTTTCTTTCATCACAGAGGATGTAACATGTTATTCTAGAGTACCTTGGCAGGTGCATCCTGGAACGGCAAGCTACCAGCTTACCCACAAGTGAACAATTCCCTGGGTGGCATGGTTAATCGCAGCAGCTTCACCATGGTAAAAGACAACACCTTTCTGTCTTGTCCCAAGGAAAAGAAGACATCTACAAATTCGTAAGAGGATAATTTCCTAATTACCCCATGAAGTTTGTTATTTCTGGTGGGTTCTTAAATCAGGCTGAGATGAGTGAAAACGGATCCTTCCTTTGGAGATGAAAAGCATTATTGGCAGCATTAGGTTTTTGCTGTGTCTCCCTCTACAGCTGAAGGAAGAATCTGCTCATCTCCATCGCAGTAGTCCTCAAAGCAGAAGCAGCGCTTGCGTGCAGGAGAAGATCCCCGATGGAAAGGCTGGGGCTGTTGGACTTCAGCTTGGTCACAATATCATTGTTTAATTACTTGGAAAAGATCCCTCTGGAGTGAGCAGAGGCCCTGACAGAACACATGACTCACAGCATATTAACTCCTGAATGTTTTAGAAACAAAGGTTTCCTTAATTTTCAGCAGCCATTAAATTCTCCTCAAAGTATTTTGTGAAAAAGGAGGGGTGTTCTGATCTTGATGATCAAACCATAACCATCCTCAGCCACAACTGGGGCACTCCCAGACTGTTGGATGCTAGTCAGGAAACGAACATTTCTGTAGGACCTATTATGTGCTCCAGTGCTCCAGAACTTTTCAGCCTCCTGCCTGACTCTTTGCAGTAATCCTGAGAGACAAGTGGAATAGCTGTTGTTTCAAAGCAAGGAAACTGAAGTTCAAAGTCCAAATTTCCAATGGGAGGAGGTGAAGAAGAGCACCAGTTTCACCCCATCGTTCTGTGCCCTTCCAGAAGGAAGAGGCCACCCTGGTAGCTCTCTGTTTCCAGAACTCTGCTTCTCTCACCTTCCTGTCTCCCACTCTGACTTCAGGGGCGCTTATACATAGGGGATAGCAGGAAACAGAGACAAAGGGGAGAAGGTGTAAGAACAGGAACAGGGAGGAAAACTTGGCACAACCCGGATTTAAGAAAGATTGGCCTTGCCAGGGATGCCAGGGCTGGTACCAAGAAGAACAGAGAATTAGGTGAAATGTGGCCTTGTCCTTTCTCCAGTTCCAGAAGGACCTGCCTCCATTCCTGGAGTCCATTGATAACTCAACAGCTATTTATTAAGCATCTGCTGTGTACCCAGTACTTTACAGCAGCCATCAAACAAAACTCCTTCCCGCACAAAGTTTACATTCTAGGGGAGTTTCTATCCAGCAGCTTCAGGCAGTCCCCTGGGGGCTTAGAATGAGGGTGCCCCTTCTAGTTCCCGTGGACACGCACACGCGCAGACACACATGCGCTCACATATGTGTGCACTCGCATGCACTTGCCCACGCGCCCTGTCAAGCAACCCTTTCTCTAGCCAAGCATCTGAAGCACAGGCGCAGCGTCCCGTGGCTACCCTGAACACGTGCGCCCTGAACACGTGCGCGAGGAGCAGGCCAACCCCAGGCAGCCACCAGCTTCTCAGGCCTGCGCAGTCGGAGGGGCACAGCTGGGCGACGCCCCTAGAAAGAAAGGAGGCTGCACAGAGTCCCCGGAGCCCTAGCTCCGCGTGGTTGCACCTGCTCACACTCCCTCCCGGGGCACAGCAGGGCTCTCCCTCCGGGGCTTGCGGTGCAGTGGACGGTGTCAACCCCTCCAGACTCCCCTGGCCCACACTTGCCACCGCCTTCACCTCTTAGCCCCACAGACCCACCCGGACTTCTCCCAGGCACGGCCTCGGTGGACTGATTCCTCCCTCCTCTAATTATTTCTGGGGCCCAGCCTGGAGGGAGAGGAGAGGGAAGGTGTTCGCCTGCGCCAGCCGTGCTGTTTGGGTGAGGCACAGGTGGAAAACAATTACAGGACTCTTTGGAAACAGCCTCAGCCCTGGAACTGTGGCAGAAACTTGGACTCGGTGGCCTGAAACCAGGCTGAGGAGCACGGTCAGGCGGTGCGGACCTGTCCCTCGGGGCTGATTGATTAGACACTCCTTCCTTCCGAAACATTTTTCAGTCCGCTGTTTGTTTGTTTCTAAACCTAGCAACCATTTACCACACTTCTCACAATGCTTTCCCTAACGCGAGGCTGCGCGCACTACAGCACGCGCTTTCCTCCTCCCGCTCAACTTCCCCCACGCTCTCAGTCTCGGGCAACTCCCTACCAGGCCACCGTTGTTTCCCTGGGCACCTTTGAGAGGTTCTCCTGTGGCCATGCCCACCTGCCTGTCCTCTTCAGGAGAAAGAGAGAGTGGCAGGGCAGGAGGAGGGTCCCCACCCCCATAGGACAGCCGGCTGAACTCTGCAGAGCCCCTGTGTCTGGGAGGGTGTTTGTTAGGACCCCACAAGGTGGGGTACAGGCAGGCTTTCCCGGCAGGTGCACCTGCCTCAGTCCCATCCTGCAACCCCTGTGGATCAATGTCAACAGCAAGAGGCTCATAGGGTCTTGTTCTCTCTCCTTGGCCAGTACAAGAGAACTCTGCATTTATCCTCTGCCCACAACTTCGTTGAAGAAGTGGAGAAGTGAAACAACTCTAAGTGCTGTCTGGAAGGAGAGCTGGACTCTGTCTCCTGGGAGAGCTGGAGGGCATTTCTTCTCTGTGGAGTGTGAAGGGAGAATTGCCCTATTCCTTGCCTGTGAGCACTTGCCCCTGGGAGCCTGTGCATCTTATCCCTTTTAATTCTCACTGAAACTGCTGGACACATATCACTATCCCATTTTACAGGTGGGGAGACTGAGTTTCAGGCAGTTGTTCCTGTATAGCTGTAAGTATGGGAGGCAGAATAGGACGGGTTGCATGCCCCTCAACTAGTTTTATGGCCAATTGGGATTCATTTTCCTGGTTGTTGCAAAGCAGTGGATAAGGCTGGAAATTAGGATGCCCTCCTTCTACTCCAGCTCTGCCAGTTTAGCCTCTGCCCTATAAACAGCCCTTGTTCTTTTCTGTCTCCTAGATTCTCTCACGTAGCTTCCCCAACTTGGAATGCCTCTCCCTCCCACCATTTCAACTCCTACACACCTGAAAAACTCAGCTAACAAACCTCTTCACACAGGAGCATTTCTCTGCCCACTCTCTCTCCTCTAACTCTAACAACTGCATTCTGTGCCATAAAATCCAACCCTTCATGACGGTACTGTCTTTTATGATTGGCTCATTGTTTCCATTTCATTAATCTCATTCCATCAGCCAGACTGATCTCTGTAAGGGCAGGGACCAAGCATGGACACTTCCCCTAGATACCCCACTGTTTCCAGCCGAGTGATGCCATAAAGTTGTACTCAGTGACTCTTATTTGGCTAATTAATCAGACACATTCTAAACATGAGCCAAGGAGTCTTTGCTACAAGACAATGAGGGGTGGTACTATTGGGCTTTCAGCCATTAATCTGCTAGCAGCAACTTCCCCTCACTGGGTGGCCAGCCTGCCTGGTTCCTCCAGACTGTCAGGAAGGATTGCACCTGAGCTAGCTGAGAAAGGGAAACAGAGCTTAATAGTATGCTCTGTTCGTGCTAAGGCACCAAGGACTGCTTAGACCAGGCAATGCTACTTTGACCAGAAGCACGGGGAGGCGTAACCACGCGGAGGGCTGGGGCTCCAGGGGCTCCACGCAGCCTCCTTCCCTCCCAGGTATGTGATGATTGAGGATAAGTGAAATGCAAATAGTTATGTACAGAACAAAGCATCTGGTCTAAAGTTGAAAACCACAAGGCAGATGATTGCTTTTTGGAGTATTTCTGTGCTTTCTACTGAAAGTTTGAGGCTGTTTGATGACATAATCTAAGGCCAAGTTCTTTTTCCTGTTACCTTCTCAGCATACAGCAGTGGTCAGTTCTTACCTCTGCAGGTTATAACATGTTTTTGCATCAGTCATCCCATTTATTTCTTGCAAGACTTTGAAAGGAAATTACACTAACAATAACAATGTTGATATTTATTAAATATATGTTCTAGGCACCAAGGGCACTAAGGGCTTGATGATATTAATTGGTTTGTTCCTTACCATTTTACAGATGCCGAAATTGAAGCACTGAGAATAACGATTTCAGACCGCATAGCCTTCCAAGTGGCAAAGTCTGGACTTGAACCAGGTGTCCTGACCTACAACCTGGCGGAGAGAGGGACAACTGCCATGGCGCCTTGCCTGTGGCTGCATGCAGTGCTGACTTACCTCAGCACTTCCAGGAAGCCCCTTTCTCGCCCTGGCCCAGGCTTGTTCTTGGGGAAGATTCAGTGACTAGGTTGGTATCCTGGACTCAAGGGAGGGACATAGAACTTGGCTTAGCTTGGTCATTCCCTGAACCTCTCCAAGGCCCAATTTTGTTATCTGCAAATTAGGAATGATGGTCCTAAAATATCTGATAGGCTTGTTGGGAGCATCTAATGAGACAGCGTAAATATAAAGCACTTGTAATGAAGTTCCCCTCCTCTTCCCTTTCCCTGCTGTTTCAGGGAGCATTGCGTGTATAGAAGCAGGAGTTATTGTTGAATTGACACATTTATCTAGTGGGCCACACTCCTGAATATAATAAGGCAAGGCCCACTGAAAGGAACTCTGACTCCTGGTATCCCCTGGGACGAAGGCCTGTTTTCAATTTGGTAAGAACTCAGAAATAGGTCATGGGTGGGAGAGAGACATCTAGCGCCTTGGCCTCTTTCTTTCCAGCCCAGACCTTGTGCACTCTAGACAGGCTGGAGGATAGCCTTCGCAGACAAGCATAGCTGGGCAGAGAGCCTGTGTGGGCCACAGGATGCAGCAGTAACCTTAAGAGTTACTTAGATGGTATTCCCCACATGAGTTACCTCTTGTTTAAAAGCTCCAGCCTGGTCTCAGCTGTGCCACTGAGGACAACAGGATATTGAAGTCTGGGCTTTTTAGGTAAGTAAGAACAGCAGTGCATGATGGACAGCAGGGTGTGGTGCCAGTGGCATGTGTTGGTGGGAGTGTCCCCAAGGCAGAGGGGGACCAAGAGCAGACATAGGAGATACGGCCACCCAAGTGAAGATCCTCCTTCCCTGCCAGTACTCCTTTGGTCAACAAACTGCATTCCAGGTCTTACTGAAGGGGCTCTTGAGTGCTGAGAGTTCTACAAGAGGAAGAAAGTACCTGGGCGCTAAGGAAACTGACATGGAACACCTGCCTTCTACCAGGCAGTGCTGCTGGAAACACCATGGGCATTTTCTCACTTCATTTTCATAATGACCTAGAAGGTAGGTGCTGTGACTTTCTCCCATGTTTGGGGAAACTTGGCCTTGGAGAGGTCAGCTGGTGCATTCCAGGGGCCCAGAGAGTGGGTGACCAGGCCAGGATCCAAAGCCAGGTCTGTGGAATGCACCTGCTGGTGCCATCTCTACATACCCTGCAGTGTGCCCGGGGTGGCTTGGCCTACTGTGGCTCTTTGTTTTTCTTTGAGAGAAGGGAGGCAATGTTTATTTCACTGGCTGGGATGGTGAGATCATTATCATCCTCAAAAAGCATGTGTGAAGTCCTTAATTGTTCATGGCACTGAGCACAGCACTGAATTATTTTGTATACAAAAATAATTAAGAAAAGTACACAGATAGGGTCTCTGCCTTCTGGGAACACAGCATCCCCAGCACGTGAAGTTGACTCCAGTGCCATGCCTGTAAAGCCAAGGCCTTGGTGCCATTCTCAGGAAGCCTTCTGAGAACTTTGTGACTTTGGGCAGTTCCTCACTTTCTCCAAGCTTTCTTCAGGCTTGCCACATGGTGAGATAATATATGGAAAGCACTTAGCAAGTGCCGGACATACTGTGCATTCTCAATCATTAACAACTATTACTACAGCCATTGGGTAGGTGGCTTATACCCAAAATGGATTTAGTGATGAGGATTTATGGTTAAACACTTTTTTTTTTAAATTTTTTATTGGATTATAGGTTTTGGGGTACATGAGCAGAGCATGCAAGACATTTGCGTAGGTACACGCATGGCAGTGTGCTTTGCTTTACTTCTCCCCTTCACCCACATTTGGCATTTCTCCCCAGGCTATCCCTCCCCACCTCCCCCTCCCACTGGCCCTCCCCTTTTCCCCCCAATAGACCCCACTGTTTAGTACTCCCCTTTCTGTGTCCATGTGTTCTCATTTTTCATCACCCACCTATGAGTGAGAATATGCGGTGTTTCATTTTCTGTTCTTGTGTCAGTTTGCTGAGGATGATGTTTTCCAGATTCATCCATGTCCCTACAAACGACACAAACTCATCATTTCTGATTGCTGCATAATATTCCATGGTGTATATGGGTTAAACACTTTTTTGAGGGTGGAGGGGATACAGTCTCATTCTGTTGCCCAGGCTGGAATACAGTGGAGAGAACGTGGCTCACCTGTAGCTTCAACCTCCTGGGCTCAAGCAATCCTCCCACCTCAGCCTCCTGAGTAGCTGGGACTACAGGTGCATGCCACAATGCCTGAGTAGTTTTTTCATTTTTCTGTAGAGTCAGGGGTCTCACCATGTTGCCTAGGCTGGTTTTGAACTCCTGGGCTCAAATGATTCTCCTGCCTTGGCTTCCTAAAATTTTGGTATTACTGGTGTAAGTGACCATGCCTGGCCAGAAAGAGACTTTTGATTGCACAGTGGAGGCACCCTTTCACGGTTCCACTGCTCTGTGGCTGTGGAAAGGCTACAGGGCTCTTATTTTCCTTACAGGAAAACATTCTCTTTCTCCTGAGATGAGGCGGGCTCGACCTTTATGGAGCAATCCTTCAAGTGTCTGTCTCTTAGTCATTGGTCTTTTGTTCTTTATTCCGGAGACATGTGTGGCTTTCCTGAGCAAAAGACGTGAAGGAATCGTGAAACGCAGCAGGCTAGAGCAGTTAGTGACCTGCATACAGTAAGAACTCAATAAGTGCTAACTGGGATACTGGGGTGGGAGTGTTCAGTTTTTCCAGACCTACAAAGGAGCCTACTGTCCTTTTAGTATTTTGCCTGAGGAATGAAAGGACAGAGCTGTGAACCCCATCAGATAAGACATCTGGGGCTGCCAGGGCTACAGGTGCAGGTGGAGGGCTCCCAGGGGAGCTTTTGCCCTGTGAGGGTCCCGCAGTGTGCACCCTTTGCCATGCACAGCTGGACAGGGAGCAACTGAGGAGCCTAAGTGACACAAGGGCACATGCTTTGGAAAATGTCTTTTGTTTCTTCTTGGCAGAGGTGGTGTAAGACACAAGCTTTGTACTTAATGGCCTGTTTGGCGGGGGAGGGGGGTGCAGAATTCACAGCAGTAGAGAGAAAAAGATTAAACTAATAATAAAACCAAACCCAAACATCATCGCCCTCCCACCCTCCTGCCCCAGCCCGCACCTGACATGGTGAGCTGTCTTCCAGCCAGTTCCCCTCCCAGGCAAATAATATTTATTCCATGAAGCCCTGACACACCGGTCTTCTAACAAGACAATGCTTGATTGTTTCTTCTTCCCCCTGCAGCAAATCACGGGCTGCCACAGAACATGTGAAAAGGGAAAGGAGCGAGGTTGCTGCTCTTCTGGTGGGACCAGCTCCGGGTACTGTCAAAACAAGCCTGAGATAAAGGTAGGCGAGGGGCTGCGGGCTCGGAGATTAGCACTGCTACTGCCCAACCTGCTCAGAAAGTTTCATTCTTTTAGCAAAGTTCCTGGCAGCTGTGACCACTTAAACAGCTTTTGCTTCCATTAAACGAGAGTCATTAAGTCATGGAGCTTAAAGCAGCTCTAAAGGGCCCAGTAGTCATTCCTCAGTGAAAAGTGCCAATTCATTGCTTGGTAGATTAGGGGGGGAAAAAAAAACACCTGGAGGTTCACAGTCAGTTTCTGTAGCATTGGGGATTGACAGTTGACCTCCATGTGAACCTGTGCTAAAAAAACGGTCTTGTGTGAGTCAAAGAGGCCTGCACTGGTGATGCAGTGAAAAGAGGGAAACTTCAGACCATAGAGAGGAATTGGATTGTCAGTTTCCACAGGTTCTCAGCAGCAGCTCTGTCTGTTCAGACCTGAAAGGTCCAGACAGATCTCTTATCGATGTTAGGATTTATCAACAGGTTTATCAGTGGGATGTATGTTGCAAGTCGAGATAGTTTGTGTTTTCTCAGTCCAAGTTTACTTCCCTATGTATCATCCACAGCCATCAGGGGCAGGACTAGTTCCTCCTTGAAACTAGGGATGGTGTCCCTTTCTTCTTTGAGCAGTGCCTGTAGACGATTCACAGAAGGGAGGGGAATAAACGATATCCCCGGGGCCTCACCTACATGTCCACCTTCATATGGGAGCCCACCTCTCACTCAGCAATGGTCCAAGCTGGCTAACTCAGCCAGAAGGTGGCAACACCATGACTGCTCACAAGGACAAAGTGGGCCAGGTGCGGTGGCTCACACCTGTAATTCTAGCACTTTGGGAGGCTGAGGCAGGCAAATTGCCTGAGCTAAGGGGTTCAAGACCAGCCAGACTGGGCACATAGTGAAACTCTGTCTCTACTAAAATACAAAAAATTGGCTGGGCATGGTGGTGCATGCCTGCAGACCCAGCTACTCGGGAGGCTGAGGCAGGAGAATTTCTTGAACCCGGAAGTGGAGGTTGCAGTCAGCCTGGGTGACAGAGTGAGACTCTGTCTCCAAAACAAACAAACAAAGAAAATACCCAAAGAACAAGGGGAGAGCGAAAACTTATTTCTGGGAAGTACTCACCGGCTTTCCAAAAGCTTTCATTTATTCTACCTCATAATTAGGTGGGGTGAGCAGGGAAGGTATTACTATACCCATTTTATAGCTGAAGAAACTGAAGTTTGGGAAAGTTAAGTGACAGCTAAGCAAGCATCTCAAACCCCAGGACTTTTGATTCCTAGGCTGCTGCTCTTACTATATGAACACTGAGAGCTTTATCCCAGGTGACTGTGGAACTCCAGAACTCAACTTCCAGCCTGGTCTCTGTCCACCTTGCCAGCATCCCTTTTTTACTTGTCAGGAACCAGCCAGACTATCCCCTTCATTAAAGGCCTGGTATTGGAAGCCAATCAGCAGAAAGATGAAAACAACCCAAGGGTTTTTCTTTCTGCCCATTTCACTGAGGTCAGAAAGCACTAGGAAAAGAATGAAAAGGTTTGGGGCAGATGTCTTTCCATTCAAGAGAGAGTGTCCCTTCCTTAAGTTGTCTCATCAGCTGTTTCACTCTTTCCTGGGGCTGACTGGGAGGAATTGATTGCATCTGCACAGAACCATGAACAGATTGTGGGAACTGGGATGGGACATTTGCCAAAGGGAACTCCAGGAATACTTGGCTCCCTGCAACTCCAGTGTGGGGGACATGCAGCCTCACGGCTACCTGGTGGATGACCAGCATTCTGGAAATACCACTGCATATAAGAGTTCTGATGGGCTCTGTGATCCAGGACTAAAGAGGCTCAATCCTGACTGGAAAATCTGGGGTAACTGGCAGTCTGGCTTATCCTATGTGGGATTACTCAGCCTGTAAAAGTTCTATTTATTTATTAAGGGAGGGGCAGATCCATATCCCATCTGTTGACACCTGGACGGCAGAGGAGCAAGCGATGCACCACCTTGCCCATCAGCACCCCTGTGGTGGCACTCCCTGCCAAGCTGCTGTGGTGGCTGGGAAGAACACCTGGTGGGTAAGTGAGTGATGGGAGAGCCTCCCGCTGGCAGCTGCTGCCTCTGCTGAGAGCCATGATCATCACTCAGTGGAATGGAAGGCCCAGGCATGTAGCCTGAGAACACAGCTCCAAACACGTTTCCCTCACACACATGCCCCAGAGTGGGCCTGACCTGGTCAGTGAAACCAGGCTCACCAGCTCCCAGAAGCTGCCTCTCCAACAGTGTCTCAGAGGTTTCCCAGCACTTTTCATGGCTGTGTTAGTTTTGACTCCAAGACCAAATGAGTAGAAGAGTTAAGAAGTTTTAAGTCTTCAATTACAGTGCTGAGCAGTGCGCACCCACCCTTTGGCTGTGATGTCTTTCTGTAGTTTCAGTTCAGAGGTTAGAAGAGCCGAGAGGAGGAGCTACCTCAAGTTTTAGAGGGGGTGATTGACTTGGTTTCAAGGTGATATCAAAAAACAGAGAATTATTATGAAAACGACTGGCATTTGCAAAGTGCACAGGATCAGTGCTGAAGATGCAGACCTTCCATTGCTCATGCCAGCATAAACCAACTGTGCGACCTTGGGCAACTGAATGGACCTTCTTGATCTCTATGTTCTCACCAAGAAACAAAAGAAATTGGATTGATGCTTTCCCAGGGGCCCTTCCAGTTCAATCTTCTATGATTATACAATTACTAATCTTAGCACTGATGTCTTTTATTTACAAGGAAAATACCATTGACACACCTCAGGTAGGACATGTGCTTTGAGTTATTCTTTCTGCTGTGCTAAGAGGTTCTCTGTGCTCCACCCCCACACCTGCCCATCCCCTTTGCCTGCCAGTTTCCATGCAAGAGGGCTTGCCCTGTGGCCTCTGCTGTCCTCTGGAGTCCCTCAGAGGATGCCATCCAATGGCCACATCAGGGCTGGCAGGTCTAGGTCTCAATTCTGACCTCAGGAACTGACTTGGGTGGTTGCAGGCAAGACTTAGCTTCTCTGGGCCTCATCTAGCGAGTGGGATAAATCGTCCATCCTGGGAAGACACTCTGGGATGCTTTGGCAAGAGAAGCAAGAGACGCGTGAAGCGGTCCTGTTGCGGAGGCTGAGGATCTCAATCCCAGAGTCTTTGGGAGGCTTTACTAATGGGCTGCACACCCAACAGAATCTTGTTGATTTCCCAGTTTACATGGAACTAAGGCCTGCTGGCAGATGCTGGGTGACTTACTCACATGCACTGTGAACTTGGATCAAGATTCCCTCTTTTTGGATTAGTTCTGAGCCTGGTTTTAAAGAATCTTGCTGGGACAGTGAATGGTTTTGCAATGCATTTCAGCGAGCTCTTTACAAACTCACTCAACAGGCCTTGGGGAACGAGGCTTACTTCAGCTAGCTCAGCTTGGATGCCACGCTAGAGGCTGCTGAGTCACACAGGCAGAGCCCGTTACCTGCCAAACATGGCTTTTCTGGATCCACCTTTCCGGTGTGATGAACCCACAGGATTAATCTGAGAGCTTGTCCCTTCTCTTCTCTCTTCGCGCCCTCCCTTCCCATGGCCCTCACCTGCAGTTGTTGCTCCTCAGGTGAGAGCACCTGAGCTGAGAAGGGGAAGGCAATGATTCTCAGGCTCCAAGAGCTTCTTCCTAACACAGGTCAGAAAATGGCCTAATCACCCTAGGGATGAAGGGACCCCACTTTGAAAGAGTCCCTGAATGGACAAGGGAATTAATGGAGAGCATCCTTCAGAACCATTCAGAACAACTTGGATGTTACTGAATCTGCCAAGTCCTCTCATGCCTTTGTGGCTTTGAGCTTCTATTTCTTCTTGCCAGAATTCTCTTCCAGCCTCACCTGCCTGGTTAGTTCATACCTATTCTTTATGATTCACCTCCTCCAGGAAGTGAACCATTCATTCAGTATTTATGAAGCACCTACTATGCACTAGGCACTATGCCAGAAGTTGGGATACAATAGTGAATGAAATAGCCCCAAATTCCAGCCTTCCATCCAAGGACAGTGTGATTGACCATCAAGCTTGGCTGAAAGATCAAGGATTCGAGAACCAATCACAGCATCTGGCAACACAGAGCTCACTGGTTGCCTTGTCAAAAGCAGTTTGAGAGGTTCTAGAGAGAACCAGAGAAGAGAAATGAGAGATAGTTCATATCAACAACTCTTTTGAGGAATTTTGCTGGAAAGGTGATGAGAGAGAGAGAGAGAGAAATGTGCAAGTCAGTTGTTTAAAAATTGATTTGACTTGTTAATTGGTTACTTAAGAAACTATGGAGACCATTGGCACATATTTTGAGAGCTTAGCCCACGGCTAGAAGAGGAGATTGAGAAAAGTTGGTTTTCATTTTTCTCTCCTTTTCTGTGAGTCCCCATCCTAGTTCTGCCTTCTGACCTTACTCAATGCTGACAGATGTGGCCATTTTTACTTCAATATCTTCTGTAGACTTCTAGCCTCTCTGGAATTTAGCAGACCGAGACTCCTAGCCATATCATATGAGATGCCTATCTATAGTGCCATGTCGGCTCTTTTCTAGAAGTCTGGCATTTGGCTACATAAGCCACTGAGAATGCCCGATTTGTGTGTTATAATGTAATCCTGGAATTTGATGGTGAAGTGACATCACTTCTATGGTAGGCACAATAGGTTCACAATTGTTTACAATATGCAACCAATAAGAATGTTGCATCAAGGAACTATTCAAATAGTCTTTAAGTCTCTGGAGATTAGTGCCAGCTTCTTGATCTTTCTATGAATATTCAAACAATGGCTAATGTTTTTCTAAGTATAATAGAACCTGCATCTTTTAAAAGACATGACTCTCATTCTTGGGGAAGATGAGGTATCTATATCTCGCACTATATATAAATCAGCGAGAACCCATCCGAATGTATTACAAACTTTCGTTGAATTCTAATAGGACACAATAGTAACCAATAACATCAATCCTCTAAATCATAACATTGAGATGGAAATGGTTGACTTGTGTTGGATTGACTGGGGATGATGTTTCCCTCATAGCAGGCACATGGTGTCCTTTTAGAACCTCTGCATTATAACAGGTAAGTAGACATCACCCTCCCCTTTACATCCTGATAATATAGTAAAAAACATAGTGAGCTTTGACGTCAGTGAAGTCTATATTAAAATTCTTACTTGGCTGTTTAACTGTGAGA